TCTTTCAGGCACATCACATCAGAGGCTCTTTAGACCCTGTAGTCCTGGGCTACTCTGGCAGGTGAGCCATCTCTGGGCCAGGAGCAGCACCATTGTTTGCGTTCATGTCCCCACAGGCCAACGATCCCCTCTCCGTCCCCATGATGCAGTGAGAAGGGTACAAAGGACACTCACCACGTTCTCAGACACTCAGGATGCTCCTCACCATGCTCAGCTCTATTGGTGGCACCAGGAGGGCCTATAATTTCTGCAGCTCAGCAGGTGTGCATCTGGGGGACACCTTCTTGCAGGTGTCCTTCTTTCTCCTTTTTGCAGGTCCCCCAGTCTTCATATGAGATTTGTTTAGAGCTACTCTTGGCTATAGGAGGGGAGGAACCATGCTCTCCCGCCATGGACATGGGTTTTCCCTTGTTGCTCAGTCATGTCCACCTCTTGTGACCCAATGGACTGTAGCCCACCAGGATCCTCTGTCCATGGAATTTCCCAGGTAAGAATACTGGAGTGAGTTGCCATTTCATTCTCCAGGGAATCTTGTTGGCCCAGGGATCAAACCCAGGTCTCCGACATTGGCAGGTGGATTCTTTACCACTGAGCCACCAAGGAAGCCGTGGGTTTTCCCTGCAGACACCCAAAAGCTAACTTTACCAGGCTTTCCTTCCCTGGTGGTTGATGGCTGGTTCTGACATCTCTCAGCAATCCCAGAACAAACTTTAGAACATGCTGCGCTTAGTGGCTTTTGGGGACCTAGGCCCCATGTGCTCAAGCAATGGGAACAATGAAATGGCAGATCTTCCCTTCCTCCCTAGCTCAAGTGATTTTTTGCAGAGGCGCGGTTTATCTTTGCAGTCTCCAAGTCCACAGCCTTTTTGGGGGTGGACAATCAGTTTGTGGGATTGAGTTACAGCAGGAAGTATGACAAGTGGCTGCTGGGTGTTGTCTGGTCCTAAAAAACACCAGTCATGTTGGATTAGGGTCTACCCTAAGGACCTCATTTTGATTTAATTAGCTCTTTAAAAGCCCCATCTCCAAATGTAGTCACATTCTGAAGTACTGGGGTTAAGAATTCACCATATGAATTTCGGGTGTGGTGAGGAGAGACCCAATTCAGCCCATAACAGATGTGTGTTTCTATTAAAGAGGCAAGGCTAAGTGGTAATGGCATAAACATAACTTAGACTTCACTTTTAAACCTGTTAAAACTTCAAATAAAGATTCTTGACAAATTCTGAAAAATTGGTAGATGCTTTGCAGTTTAAAATTTTATGTAGAAAATGACTTAATAACTTTTTAAAAATTATTTGAAATCTGCATAACCCAATTTCCTTTTTCATGTAGAAAATATCTATTGAGTGCTCACTAGGTGCCAGACACCATTCTAGGTACTAGGAATATAGTTGAATAAAATGGATACAAATCTCTACTTTCATCCTAGTTGGAGGAAACAGACTATCTGCAAAATAATAGTAAGTTATACCATATGCTATAGTGATAAGTGGCATGGAAAAAGTAAAGCAGGGAAGAGAGTGTATGTCCTTTGGGTTGGTGGGTTGAAATTTTAAATAGATTATAGATGATCACATTGAGAAGGAACTTATGAATAAAAATTCGAAAGAGGTGAGGAAGGAGTCCTGAGGACATCTGCCTTTAGTGGGACTGTCTAGGCAGAGGAGAGAGCAAGTGCAAAGGCCCTGAGCTAGGAATGGACTTGTTTGAGAAAATGCAGAGAGGTCAGAAGGGCTGATGGGTTGTGAATAACAGGGAGAGGACTGGGAGACAATGCCAGAGAGGTAGGCAGGGACTAAATCATGTAGAATCTTGAGAGCCATGAGTTTGAGGAAATGAGTTTGAATCTGAAGTGTTGGTCCCTGGGGGACTAAAGGATTGTTGGGGACAGGGTATCACTTAGCCAGGAAGATGGAGAGTGGGGTGCCTAAGGATCAGATTATAGACAGTTTGAAGTTGTTGGTAGTGATATCATCCAGGAGATGACCACAGTAGTCAGGTAGTGGAAACCAAGCTCATTGGAAGAGAACTATGGGAATTTTGAGAGCAGGGTCTTAGAAGGAATAAACAAAATGAAGGAGTGGTTTTAGAGAGAATGGCAGTGAGCTAGTAGTTAAATTCTTCAAGCAGGGAATGGACTGACCCAGGCATTTGCAACAAAACAGGCAATGGATGGTATATTCTGATGATGAGAGATTGCGAGCTGGGGTTTCAGGGCAGAGGGAGTGTGTGTGGTCTGGAATTAGCAGTGAACAGAGGGCCCCTCTTAACTGATGATCATTGGCAGCTTGGGAGAGATGAAGCAGGAGGCCATGATTCCCTCTAGCTGTGAAAGGCGAGACTTTTAGGATATTGCTGTTGATGACTATTTAATAAAACCTAAATGATTATAACTTCTTAATATTAGGCTTCTTAGTCTAGATGAAATTGAGTGAGGGTTTTTGAGAAGTTCTTTTCCTTAAAAATGGAATACCAGGAATTAATCATTTATGCTCCTTGGTCTTCAGATAGAGGCATCTAGGATTAAGGCAGAGCCTCTCTTTACTGCTTGTAGGGTTCCATCTTGAGGCTCATCATTGCCTTGACAGGCTACATCCAGAGTACAGTGGGAGAAAAACGCTGACTTAGTGGAAGACATGAAGTTGCCAGGAGAAGAGCAAGAATGGAGGGGAAAAGAGAAAGAAAAGGTATTCGAAAAGTCAGTAGGAATGTTTCAGGTGGAATGAACTTCTGGGAGAAGGGACTCATTCACCCTATAGATGGGTGGTCACAAAGCAGTGGTTCTCCAAGGGTGTCTGGGTCTCTATTAGGGATGTGTGAGGTTAAGACCATTTCAGTAATCACACTAAGAGGTTATTTGCCCTTTTCATAAGCATATAGTGAAGTTTTGTAGAAGTATGACATCACAACCGATTGACTGCAGTGGCAGATATGAAAACCCAGTTGTCTTCTTGTGAGCCAGATATTAAAGAAATCTGCAAAAATGTGTAACAGTGTCAGTCTCACTAAATATTTTTTCAGTTGAGAACATTTTTCATAAAAATATGTTAACATTAAATTATTACAATATTTAAGCTAGTATATATTTCAAATTCCCATTTTGAGTTTTAATGCTGTATATAATGATAGATATAATCCTTATAAGCAAAACAAAAGCTCTTTATGGTCCTTAATAATTTTTAAGATTGTAAAGGAATCTTGGGATCCAACAGTTTGAGAACTAATAGATAAGAGGCCAGGCTCTGGAGATAGTATGCTTAGGTGGGAATGCAGGCTTTGTGATCTTAGGCAAGTTTCTCGACCTCTCTGAGACTTTAGAGAGTCGATGTCTATGAACTAGGCCACCTCAGGCAAGTGTTGTGAACCAGTGAAATAATGTATTAAAGTCACTTTGCACAGTGATCATTTGGGTACCGAGGGATCATTTCACAAATGTTGATTACTTCATGTAACAACTGACTGAGTGTCTAACTCTTCGCTAAGTGCTGGCAGGATGTAAAATGGCATAAGTCACAGCTCCTACTCTGAAGAGGTTTGCTGCCCAGGAGGGTGGAGATTTCTGGATTTGTAGTTGGCATCTGCGAGTTCAATTTCCAGCTGTACCCTTTACTAGTGACATCACCTTGAGTGAGCTACTTCCTGTGGGTAAAGTCAGATAATAAAGGCATTGGGACAGTCCACTGAGGAGACAATAAATTCCTGCTGTATCTTCTAGGCATTGCTGTCCCCAGAACTTAATTTAACACTTGGATTTGTCCTTCTTGAAAATTATGCTACCCTTCTCTGCTTTCCGTTTCCAGAACCTGCCTTTCTTCCCGAGATGAGTAACTAAGCCAGTAGAGGGCAACTTCTGCCTTCTTATTCATCCCTTGGCCCCTTTCTCTAATTGGGAAATGCTCTAGCTGCGATGGCTGGCAATTGCCAGTTTTTGTCTTCAGGACACTCACAGCTTTGTGAGTGTGCTAAATTTTGTCTGAAAATCCCGACTCTTTTTTTTTATCAGTCAATACAGATTTACTGAGACCTCTTTAAATAAAGGGGCTTCCCTCATAGCTCAGTTGGTAAAGAATCCACCTGCAATGCAGGATACCCCGGTTTGATTCCTGGGTTGGGAAGATCCCCTGGAGAAGGGATAGGCTACCCACTCCAGTATTCTTGGGCTTCCCTTGTGGTTCAGCTGATAAAGAATCTGCCTGCAATGCAGGAGACCTGTGTTCGATTCCTGGTTTGGGAAGATCCCCTGGAGTAAGGGAAAGGCTACCCACTCCAGTATTCTGGCCTAGAGAATTCCATGGACTCTGTAGACCATGGGGTCGCAAAGACTCGGACACGACTGAGCAACCTTCACTTTTCACTCACTTTAAATAAAACTGAAGGGAAGGTGTTGGTGGAAAGGAGATTGTGGGTGTTGCCACCATCACCTGACATTGCGGATCATGGACTGTATTCCAGGCAGTGTTAAGTGCTTCACTTGCAACGTTTCCTGAATTCTCAGAACACCACCACCGGGGGTAGGTATGGGCACTCATTTTTAATAGCTGTAAGCCTGGGCTCTGATTGGTTAGGCAACTTGTGTGAAGTCCACTGTGGTGGAGCTGATTCAAATCCAGAGGAAGTGTGCTGATAGCAGAGGAGGGTGAGATGGCTGTGAGCTGGAAGGGGAGGCAAGATCTGGACAGAAGGAGAAGACCAGAGAGAGTCTTGTCAGGCAGAGAAAATGGTCTCCAGTGGAGCTTGCCCTCAGTGGTGAGCCCTGAAAGCAGGAAACAGGTTTTACTGCTCCAAGATGGTGGTTCTCAATCTTGTCAGGCACAAAACGCCCCTTTCTTTAGAAAGTATTCTGTAACACCCATTTTATTATCCTGAAGTGAAATTCTAAAGTAGCACTTATCTGTGTTTACATATATGTTTACACTTAATACAAAAGCAATGTATTACTTGCTATCAGTCGAGTAGCAGGCCTGCTGGTGACAGACCGGAGAACGGAAGGTGCCGGGCTAAATCCCCAAACTGCCCACCAGGGGGCGGTGTATCTCCTCGGCGGCGAACGGCTCCCCAGTCCACGCGCGGTACCTTTGGGCCGCTCCCCTCTCGCGTCGCAGGGGCCTCACGTCGCACTCCTCCTGAGGTGGCGTGATGGCCTCCCTGGTGGCGCCTCAGTGGTCCGGGGCGGGTGGGGAGTGAAGGGAGGAAGCCGCGGAGCACGGAGCTGACCTCACCAAGTTGGTGTGCTGGATTTCTAGCCACGTGAACTTGCCGGCATTAGAGTCATGTTCTTTCGAGTTTTACTTTTGTCGTTGAATCTTTTGCTTAAAAAGTGATCATGAAGCTACATGTTTGTTTTATTTTCATTGAAATTACTTTTTAGGTTACTTTGTATTATGGCAAGCTGTAGAGACCTGGGGCTTCCCTTGTGGCTCAGCTAGGGAAGAATCCACCTGCAGTGCGGGAGACCCTGGTTTGATCCCTGGGTTGGGAAGATCCCCTGGAGAAGGGAAAGGCTACCCACTCCAGTGTTCTGGTGTGGGGGATTCCACGGGCTAGTCCGCGGGGTCGCAAAGAGCCTGACACGACTGAGCCACTTTCACTTTTCAACTATTCATTTAATATTTTTCTCTAGTGGATTTTTTTTTAACCTAAATACATATATTTAAATAGAAAACTTAAATAAAAGTATACATGTAAAGCTTATATCACTTGGCTTAACTAGTGATAAGTGGGGTTTGGCTTAAACGCCCCCCCCAAATAAAGCCAAATTACTACATTCTTATTTATATCTTGGTTTCCCACCAAAGGTTCATTGTCTGTATAAACAAGGAGGTTAAGAAGTGTTAAAGACGTTGCCATACCAAACCAAGACTATCCTTAAAGTAATCAGAGAGCTAAAAGAGAAGTGAAAGGGAATGTTTTTCTCACTATGTAGGAGAATCCACATTATTTAAACTTTTATCTGTGTGCTCTGAAAATCATCTACCATACAACAGTGGATAAAAAGTTTCCCATTCTGGAGACAGGTATAGCTGATGACTTCCTGACCTTGGAGTCAAGGGACCACTTACTAGCTGTGTGTCCTGAACTTGTCACTTGCCCTCTCTGGGCCTCTCAGGCCTAACCTGTAAAACGAGCTTAGAAGAGATGCTCTCTAAAGTTCTTCTGGATCTAATAGTTGAAGACTCTGAAGCCCTGATTCTCATCCGAAGGAGATCTAGGACTTAAGGTGGGTATCCTTTTATTTTGTGCTTAGAACCTTTGAAGGGGGTTGCGGAAAACCACGGATTCCCAGAAATTCTGACCAGCACTGTCTCTATCTTGGGGTAGTTTAACCTAACATAGCCAAACAGCTGAGTGTTTAGAACCTGGAGTCCAAGATACCTGGACTTAAATTCTTGCTGTGCTCCCTGTAAGTATTGTCCTTGTTGTTCTTCTGGCATGTTTGTAACTTTGAGCAAGTTACCCTCTTCGGTCCCCATTTCTCTAATTTTACAGTAGGGACAGTGATAGTATTTATCCACATTATGAAGATGAAATTATAATGTTAGGTGCTTACTCCAGTGCCTGGCCCATCTCTCAGCAGTGATTCCTATTTATTATGGTAATTCCTAAGATTTATTTATTTAAAGTGAAACTTGGAAGTAAGCCACTGGGGGAGACTGTTTGGTGGCCCTGTCCCCAGTGTCTTAAAACTGATGAAATGAATGTTTACCAATAAGGGGAAGCCTAGTCTGAGAAAGGTGAATGTGAATGTACAAGGCTGTCTAACTTACACACAGCCTTGGTTCTAATATGAAGGCCAAGTGTATTTGTGTGGGTTTTAGGACTTTTGAAAAAAAATATTTTTTTTAAAAAAGCTTTAGCTGAGCAGCTTGTGGCTTTCCAGCCCACAGGTTTCCTGCATCTCTGCCTGACCCCTTGGTGCAGGTGTCTGCATGTGTGCGTGTGGGACCGAGGAGAGTGTGTGAGACGGGGAATAGCAGAAGAACAGAGTTCCCCTTGAAGGCCCCTGACCTGCTCCGTCACCATGGCAGGCCTGTTCTCGCCCTTGTGGGGCTGGGCAAGGTGGCTGGGGCAGTAGAGCCTGACATTTGAAAGAGCAGTATCACTTGTCCTGGGCACACCTGTCTTTGAGATCTTGCTGCCACTGCTGGGACATTCCTGACCAGGTGGAATTCTCCTGATGACATTTTTTTTTGGATGATCATGTGACAACTCCCTGAAGCATAGAAAGTTCTGTTATTAGAGCTGTGGACCTGGGTTTTCATTCTGTCCTGACCACTAATGAGCTCTCTGACCTTTCTGAACACTTTTGTTTCTTCCTTTATTTGTAAAATAAAGGTTAGATCATACCAGTGGTTTTTAAGTTACAACTTATTTGTGTATGTGTGGGGTAGATGCCCAGAGCCCTTGGACAAACTGATGAGAGTTATTTAGACTTTGTCTCCAGAAAAACATAAAGAAAAGAAAGTGAAGTTGCTTAGTCTTGTCTGACTCTTTGCAACCCCATGGACTGAAGCCTACCAGTCTCTTCCATCCATGGGATTTTCCAGGCAAGAGTACTGGAGTGGGTTGCCATTTTCTTCTCTAGGGGATCTTCCCAACCCAGGGATCGAACCCAGGTCTCCTGCATTGCCGGCAGATGCTTTACCATCTGAGCTACCGGGGAAGCCCAGAAAAACATAGGTCCCCACTAATTTTGTATAAAATTTGAGGCTGTTTCAAGACACCCCTGAAAATACTTGTGAAGTCCAGGTGGCAAACCACTGATTGTATGCTTTATTTAGCTTGCAAACTTCCATGAAGCCTGTGCCTTCCAAGTTGGCTTTCCTGCTGAACCTAAAGCACATGAAGAACCTGTCCATTTACAAATGTATCTTTAGCATACTCTCGCTCACAGTCCAGCAAAGTGAGTCTCAGCCCAGCAGGGGCATGAAGGAGCTGAGCTACCAGGGCCTTTGCGTGTGGCTGTGCAAGTTTTTCCCTGCACAAGGCATCCCAGTTGATGGCCACACCTTTTCCTGTTCACACAAAAGTGGGACCTAGGCCAAATGTAGGCCTTGCAACATATACTTGGATACCAAAATATAAGGTCCAACAGGAAATTCTCTGCCCACAGACTTGACCTGAGGCTGACTCTCCCTGTTTGGGCTCAGTAGACAGTATTAATTAGTGGCTGGAGAAGAGGGGTCATCGAGAGACCAGAAATATGCACTTAAGACTTGGGCAAGACTGAGATCCTTGAATGAGTTAGGATTCTTGTGGAAAGTGAGTGCATTTGTTGGAGTTCTTAGTTTGCAGACAACAGAAACCAATTCAGCTGACTTAAGCAGGAAGGGGATGTATTGAAAGCACATCAGGTGGTTCACAGAAATGTCAGGACAGCTACAGAACAGGCACGAGATACAGAGCAGTGACCATGGAGGTGAGGCCTCACCAGAATAGCGGTCTGCGTGATGATGCAGCCTTGGCCTCGCATGGATGCCGCTGCCGTCAAGCAATCCCAGCTTACCTCGCTGCCACTGGTGATGCTGGATGGAAGGTGTAGCTGTTGCCACCAACCACTGAGATGAATCCTCGAGGGCGCCATTTCATTGCATGTAACATCTGATTGCTTGCACATGGATCATGTGCTTGACCATCCCAGCGGCACAGGGTCCTGGGAGAGTGAGTGGCTGACATTTTCAACTTCTCTGTTTCCCACCAAGACTCTTAAGTGGGGGACTTCCCCAAACCATCGCAGGCAGCCCTCCCAAATCAACAGACATTCTGCAGACACAGCAACCAGCTAGAGGTAGCCTGAGTAAAGAGAGCTCTTGAAGGCTGGAGGGCGTTTCCTGAACGTAAGGACAGGAGGGGAGCCAGACCTTCAGTGGCCTGGAACCAGGAACTTGAACATCAGCAGAACACTTCCTCTAGCTCTCAGCTTTGCTGCTCTGGGCTCCTTCATTTTCTCTCTCTGCTTTCTGACATTTTATGTCCACAGTCCAGGAGGTAGGGTCATGTGGTAAAAATGGGGTGTTTGGAGCCTCCACCTGTGGCTCTAAGGGTACCTACCCAGAAGGAGAGCTTGGCATTCACTATGATGGGTGGCTTCCACCCACTTTTTACCTTCATTCTGGCTGCCCCGGATGGGTCTCTGCTGTTCTACATGGCTCCCCCATTGTGGAGGCCCCTTTAGATAACCTTGACACACCTCATTTTTTTTTTTTTGAGGTTGCGCTTAGCTTTTCCAATATTCCCAGAATGTCAGGTCTTCCTCATTTTACTGATGGAGGGTCTAGGTTCTCAGAAAATAAGTGAATTAAGATTCTGACCATCCCATGAGTGAGCTGGTGCATTCACTCAGTGCTTAGAAGAATGCTTAGCATGTGGAGAACTCACAGGTGTTAGTGATATCATTAGGGTTTCTTCTACATTTTCTCCCCTTCTCTCTTTCTCTTTCTCGGCACCCTCAGTCCCTTCTTCATTTGTTCTTTGCAAAAATATGTACTGCATGCCTGTGTGCTGGGTACTACTCTAGGTACCGAGAACTCATCTGTGAATAAGACAGATACGATTCCTGCCCTTCCAAGGCTTTTAGTTCAGTAGGAAGCAGTGTCATGATATGATTTAGAGTAAAAGAAAATTATTTTTATCAGAGAGCCGCAGTTTGAGGAAGGTTCTTCACCCGAACCTAACTAAACAACAACAGTAACACCCAACTGACCTGTACTCTTCAAAACATGGCAAGATCAAGCAAGACAAAAAAGGGCTGTATATTGAATTTGCACATTGAGGATATATAACAATTAAATGTAATGTGTCATTGGGATCAAATCCCTGATTGGGAAAAAGCTATTCTAAGGAACATGATTGGGGCAATGATGAAATTTTGAAATGTACTTTTGTTTTTTAAGGTAAGAGTATTGCATCGTTGTTAAATATCCTGGGTTTGGTAACTTGGCTTGTTCTTGTTCTTAGGAAATAAGAGAATGTCCTTGTTCTTAGGAAATAAATACATGTGAAAGTGTTTATGTGTAACAGGGTATGATGTCTACAACAGAGTGTCAAAAGGTTCAGAAAAAAATAATGTAGAGAGAGTGATAGAGCAAATATGAAATGACTTTAAAAGTTGGTGAATCTGTATGAAGAGTATAGTTAAGTTCTCTATTCTTGCAACTT